TATATATATATATATATATATATATATATATATATATTAAATTGTTAAACTTTTTTTTCCTGCCTTGAAAGTTGTTTTATGTCAGAATTAAAATTAAACTTTCCAAATTTCATTTTTTTTAATCTTTCGACTGTTACCATCAAGAATTGCAAGATTTCTGTTCGTGAAAATTTCTTTGGCTTTTCGGCGTTTCTTAGTTACAGTCGAAAGTCTTCGGATTAAGAAAAAATGACGTCGGAGGTTTACCAGTTTTACTTCTGACATAAAATAACTTTGTCGCAAGTTAGAAAAACTTAATAAAAGAAATTGGACAAACACATCTTGTCATATTGTTTAACAAAACTATTTAAAATAATTCTTTGTTGCCAAAATACACCTTTTATATATATAAATATAAATATACAATATATATTTCACTATATATATATATATATATATATATATATATATATATAATTCACTATATAGAAATAGAAAAATCCGATAACATTAAAAGAAATGAAAATAAGTGGATACAACACTATCCAGCCGGGCTTAACCATAAATTAATAATATAGATAGTATTAATATATAACCCTGCAAATCAAAAACCTCCCACCTCCCCACACAAGACAGACATGCTTACGGAAAACACACGAATATACACACTTACACAAATCACACAATGAGCGAAATGATAACACACACATAGTAATATACACACACATCATACACAAGAACCAAAATAACACACACACACACACACACACACACACATCTCCTTTCCAGGATTCAAAGACAGAGACACATCTCCTTTCCAGGATTCAATAAAACTGTCAAAATGAGCAAGGGAATTCAGAGCAACATGGATCCATCCAGCTCTTATCTCAAATAACAACTTAAAAGAGACTGTTTGACCAACACAAAGACTGACCAAAATTCATGTTAAAAAAATAAAATAATATATAAATAAATAAAAAAAACAAAAAAAAACAAATGAAAACTACAGACAAAAATTCATTTTCTCCATCAAGACATTCATTTCTGTAGTTCACCAGCAAGCAGAATTTTTTTTCTTCTCCATGTAGGCCGAAACTAGTTGAGGGATCTAAATGAAATAATAATAAAAACGAAAGAATATTAATATACAACCCAGTATGTCTCAATATTTTAATTTTTTAATATGTTTTATTGTTCTATCTATCTATCTATCTATATATATATATATATATATATATATATATATATATGCTGGCTTTCAGCAACTTAAAGTTTCATGTGGACTCCAAGTGTTATACGGTTGTCTCACAATTTACAGGCGGTTTAACGGACGAGATACTCATGTCTACTCAATTTTATATATAGTATTGACTTTATTATCCCTCGAGCCACCTGAATATTAAGTGTCTGCTATTTAATATGGCATTGATCTTCCTTAGGAGTTGTTTACTTTATATTTTTATTTAAATTACACTATTTACACTCCAGGCAGAAAGCGTGCGGGCCACCCTGCATTTCTTAAAACAACATCTTAAAATCTCATATTTTTGTATTTTTAAATACAGCATATTTAATTTTATTTGAATAAAAATAATCAGTTAACTTTTAAAAAAATATCATACAACAGCATCATATTTTGTTTCAGTAAATAAAACCGCCACCTGCTTTAATTAGTACTTTAAAAACCTTGGCATTCTTACCAACAGTTTTTGAAAAAAATGTAAGTAGCAGACTGTCCAAAATATTCTTCAAGCACTATAAACATTTTTGCTATTCTCTTCGAATTCTTTTATCCAATGCATCCCAAACTAATTGAATGGGAGAGAGGCCAGGAGATTGGCGCGGCTATCTTATAATTCCCATAATTTTGGTACAATTGAGAAGATTATTTTGGATCGTTGTCTTCTTGAAAGGTGCTTTTTTTCCCCAATTATGAACAAACCAGATGATATAGTATGCCTTTGCAAAATCGAATGATATTCTTCTTTTTTTAGTGATTCCTTTGACTGGAATCAAATCTCCAGCTCTCTCTCTATCCCTTCAAAATACTGTCACACCATAACAGATCCTCCACCATATTTAAGTGTTGGACTTACGCATTCATCATTCAGTCTTTCTCCTGGCTTTCTTCTCACATAAACTCTCCTCTCACTACTACTTTGAACTTTTTTGATGGTAAGACGAGCCTGGAGGAAGACCGAAAAATAAAAGCAAATACACTGGACTTATTGAAATTGTATCTTATAGTTAAAAAATACAAAAATGTCTCATTTTAAGTTGTTTTTTAAAGAAATGCAGCGTGTAGTATATATATATATATATATATATATATATATATATATATATAAAAAAATATAGTCTTAAGGTTTACATTCTTGGAATAAAGTGCTTATTATCAGAGATAGAGCGTGTGTAAATATAAAAGTGAACATTGAAGTCAACACTTAGAGGCGACAGTCTGTTTCTTGCTAGACGCAATCATCAAGCCTGACGATTGCGTCTACCATGAAAAAACTGTCGCCTCGAAGTGTTGACTTCAATGTTCACTTATATATATATATATATATATATTACTTAAACTTCATATTTGAGTAGACGCTCCGTTTATAAACAGTATTAAATTTATTCATTTATTTTCGTCTACAGACCTGAATATTTGATAAAATCTTACTAAAGAAAAATATGCTCTTCTGGCAGGAATCGAAACTGCGTTTCCATAGGGAAAACCTTTATTAGATTTGACGTGCTTTGACCTCTCGGCTACGGAGTGCGTCAATAACAAAGTTTGAATATTGCCTTTAGACAGATTTTTCCCCCTGACTCTTGAAATAGTCATATCCGTTCAATTTAATTCAGTCCTTAACTTAAACAAAGCAATTAATAAAAAAAAAAGTGGTGGGGGGATGAATTTTTCATTTATTAATCCGACAGATTTTTATTCTGAAATTTTCTTTGTTGTCATTTAGTTTGATAAATGCTTGTGATTGCCAAGAATAGGTCCGATACTAATTCGAAACAACTGTTTCCGGTCACCTAAATATCCGTTAGAATAATACGATAGACCTACTCATAAATAGTCGAGCCAAAAATACAATAGCGATTGCGCTTAAGCATGAAACAGGGTGTCACCGCTGGTGTTGTCTTCAATGTCCACTCATATATATATATATATATATATATATATATATATATATATATATGAGGAATCAAAATGAAATAATAATAATAAAAACGAAAGAATATTAATCTACAAACCCAGTGTATCTGAAGATTTTAATTTTTTAATATTTTTTTATTGTTCAATATATATATATATATATATATATATATATATATATATATATATATATATAATTTAGCTCTTGAAAATATATTTCAATTGAGCACTGTTGAGTGACAAGCTAATTCTACAAACAGTCACCTGCGTTAATGCGATGCTCTTCAGTAAAATGAATGGAGCACTCCGGCTGATTGACATTTGTTTACATTTGTAAAAACAATACGCTAGATTCTGCCTCATTCTATCTCAAGAACAATATTGGGCAAATTGTATGATAAAGTGGAAAAAGGTTTTTTGTGACGCGTTTCGTTCTTTAGGACTGAGTAGGACTAAATTTGTTATGTTAGTAGGACTACACGTGTGCACGAACAAAGGGTGTCGGAGATTTTAGAATTTTTTTTTTAACATCTAGCTGAATTGATTTAGAGTCTTTTTTCATTTTCTTTTCATCACTTTTATTAGTAAATATCCCCCACATTGTGATATTAGAAGATATGCTAGGAATGGTGAAATTTTTACAGTAAATTTGCTCTTTGTGGAACTGACTCCCAAGGGGATGTTTTCCCGATCAATACAATCTTAACCTGTTCAAGTCTAGAGTTAACCATTACCCACATATGTACATAAACTGTGCATCTCATTCTGTAACACTCTACCTCGATTGGCTTCCGGGCCTTGTACAGGGTAAACCTCAATGTAAAAAAGAAATTACAGTAATTTATTTTGAATATTGATATTTTTTTACGGTATTACCGACATCAAGAAATACTTTGACATATTTAATCACAATAGGGGGATGGATTTGTACCCATTACCGATTATCATCAAAGAATCTAAGAATGAAAAGAGAAATTAATAAAAATTGATCCATTCCTTCGATGTCATTTTCGCCTTGTTCTTAAAAAGAAAAAAAAATCAAGGAATTTCCTAATAAATGTTTTTTTTTTTCTTATTTTTTTTTTTATTTTTTTGTGGGTTGGGACGAAAAGCCATATTTAATAATCGAACTGGTGTGACGCACTGTTTCATATAATGAAACCAACTCCGTTGTCCCATGTCAGCGCTATAGGAATGCAGATGATGATGACCTAATCCCTAATCCCAGTTGACCTGTTCGTTTCTCCAAAACCCAATTTCAAGTCATGGAAGAACGGGCATCTAAACCTGAAACATGTTTGTTTCCCACTCAACATTTCTGCGGTCAGTCTTAGTCAGTAGAAAATGGAGGCAGATTTAATAATAGCTGATGGAGAAGTATGACTCATCTCTCCCTGTCCATCTCTCCCCCTCTCTCTTATTGTCACTTTCATCCAAGCACTCTCACAGCGTTCAGTAGAAAACACTGCTGGCTGATAAAAGTACAGCAGATCGATAAATAAATAATAAATGTTTTGGGCTCGTCAGTTCCCTGGTCAATAAATGCCGAGGGATCAAAACGAAGGCTGTAGATTGTAGATTTAGAAAAGAAGGGGAAAATTATATATACAGATAAAAAAGAGCAGAAGCAGCAGTAGCAGCAGCAAAGCGAAAAGGAGGAGGGGGGGTCATGAGGGAGGGGGGTGGAAATAGAAATGGAAAAACTGTTTCACTCCGAAAGATCAAATTTTTTGATCGTCAAAGAAAATATTTCACCATTCCACGATGCAACAGAATATCATTGAAAAAATTTAAAAAAATAAAATATCTGAAGCTAGTTAGATAGATAAACATACAGATAGAGAATAAATCGATATATAGATACGAAGGGTCAGATATAGATAGATAGATAGATAGATAGATAGATAGATAGATAGATATTAATAGACCAGTATAGCTATGAATAGACTAAGATAGACAGACATACATACAGATAGATATGAAAAGACTGAGATAGATAGATAGATAGATACGAAGAGCTGATAAAAGTAGATACATAGATATTAACCGACCAATATAGATATGAATAGACTGAGATAGATAGACAGACAGATAGAAAAACTGAGACATAGATACGAAGAGACTGATAGAGATAAATAGATTGTTACAAAGAGATAGATAGATATTAACAGACCCGTATAGATATGAATTGACTGAGATAGATAGATAGATAGATAGATAGATAGATAGATAGATAGATATGAAAAGACTCAGACAGACAGACAGACAGACAGACAGGTAGATAGATAGATAGATAGATAGTTAGATAGATAGATAGATAGATAGATATGAAAAGACTCAGATAGATAGATAGTTAGATAGATAGATAGATAGATAGATAGATAGATAGGAAAAATAGATAGACAGATAGATAGATAGAGATAGATAGATAGATAGATCAGATAGATAGATAGATAGATAGATAGATATGAAAAGATGACAAAGACAGACAGACAGACAGATAGATAGATAGATAGATAGATAGATAAATGAAAAGACTAGATAGATAGATGATAGATAGATAGATAGATAGATAGATAGATAGATATGAAAAGACTCAGATAGATAGATAGATAGATAGATAGATAGATAGATAGATAGATATGAAAAGACTCAGATAGATAGATAGATAGATAGATAGATAGATATGAAAAGACTCAGATAGATAGATAGATAGATAGATAGATAGATAGATAGATAGATAGATAGATATGAAAAGACTCAGATAGATAGATAGATAGATAGATAGATAGATAGATAGATAGGGTCAGATTTATTTAGATAGAGAGTCTTGTCGCATTTTTGACACGATCACGTTAAAAGCACTTTTTTCCCATTACTTACAGTAAAATAGCCATTATTTTTTTACCTCCTGGGTATGACGACAAACTACACCCGGCAGCAAGTAACTTATCTGGCTGACCGACTGGTTGAACTTTACATGACTCATCAGATTCAGATGTTTGATAAATATACCGATTTATAAAACTATTTGATTTACCAAACATCTGGATATGAACTTAGATATGAAACTCTTCAGTTGCTAGTCCTGGGTCCGACGATAAACTATATCCAGCAGCAAGGCCTCTGACTGGGAGATTGTAGGTTTTGAGGAGTCTGGAACCATCTTTTCCTTTCTGTTGTTCCAAGGTCCACCCTAACCCGGGATGTTAGCATCTGTTAGGGTCCCAGTTATGGGCAAAAACCACAAACAAAAATCAAAACCCTAGGAAAGTAGAAAAATATATTTTTATAATAAAAGCTACCAGCAATACATTTTTATAAAATATTACCGATAGAACATTTTTATCTTAAAATTACTAACAATATATTTTTTCATAGTAAAATGACCAGTAATACATTTTATTGCAAAATGACCAGTAATACATTTTTATAGTAAAATGACCAACGATATATATTTCATTGCAAAGTGACGATCAATCGATTTTATAGTAAAAGTGAAGATGCCATACATTGTCAAAGAAAAATTAAAAAAATTAATCTGCTCTGATTAATCTCATTTCTTTTTAAGAGAAACAAGTTTTTCACGTTACGTCTGATTTTGAAACATTATTTGGTAATATATATATATATATATATATATATATATATATATATATATATATATATACACGTTTTCTAAATACCGTGAAATGTCGGTTTGTAACTTTTATTAGTTAACTAGCGCTTAGTACGTTATTTCCAAAACAGCGTTGTCATATAGTAACATACAATATGACTTGTTTTGTGACGTATTTTTTAATTGCATGCTGGGAACCTGGGAACAACGTCATTTAAGAGGTGGTCCATATTGCAGAGTATCTTATCGAAACCAAAATGGCGGTGCCTATAAGAAATCGTTGATAGAGTCTTTATAATCGTTTATTTCCAGTAAACAACAGTTTCTCGTTCGTCTCAAAACGAGCCAGTACATCCAGACAACAATGCTATAACAATGCAGCAGTGAAAGTAAAATCATTTTAAAATGAATTTCGATCAGACAGTGTTTGCCGTATAAATTTAAAAAGAGGCTCTTCACCAACGGAAGGTGGAAACATCTTTGTGTCTCTCGTAATGAAACATTAAGCGTCCGGTCATGCCAAAAAATGCTTTGACCAGTTTTGATCAGGAAATCTTTCTTCTCGAAGATTTCCTTCGATCTGGAAGAGCAAATTCTGTCAATATTCAATTTCTGTAAACCGTCGCCGTGGAAAATCCTTAGCAAACGATGATAAATGGCTTTTATTAACTAAATTTGCTCAGTGGGTGCCTCATTATTTGACTGCTTCTCAACTTTATCAAACGTTGTCCTCTGCACACCATTCAAGTATAGACTTGCCATCGAAACTTTGCTGGAATCATCATAAGTGATGTAAAGTGGGCTCTCTATAATCCTGTCCAACGAAAACATTAGCATCCTCGAAAAAAAGAATTCATCCTAAAAGCAGGACTACACCCGAAATGATTTATGCTCTATGCTTGGCGCAATTTGAAGAGTAACATCTATGACGATGTGCCAATCCAAAGTGAAACAGTTAATACGGACATGGACAAGTATTGTCGTTAAAAGGAAGCATTGCACGCAGACATGTCGAAAGAACAGCGCCAATCATTGGTTAATCGGAAAGATGTGTTGCTTTTAATGGAAGAGTCATACAAGAAAAGATTATGGAACCAAATATGGAAGTTTTACCTTATCCTACTTACACTCCTGACATTGCTCCATCTGACTCTCATCTTTTCAGATCATTGCACCATTTTTAGAGGGAAAACAGTTTATCAATTTTGAAGAGGTTAAAACTGGTATTGAATGTTCCTTTGTATCGGAACCTGAAAAAATCAACAATTTATCAAATAAATGGGATTATGTTATCGATAATCAGGGGAAATATCTTGATTAAATGTATTAAGAAAGACCAAAGAATCATTTGATTCTTTTCAATCTTCAAATGAAACAGGTTTTTCTTTTTAACCTGATAGATAGATAGATAGATAGATAGATAGATAGATAGATAGATAGATAGATAGATAGATAGTGAGGGAAGTAGATAGATAAAACAGAGAGCATGGGATAAGTAAATAAAAACGAAGCACTAAATAAAAAAAAACAAATAAAAATTGGACAGACAGACAGATAGATAGATAGATAGATAGATAGATAGATAGATAGATCGGACCCACCATGACACCTACATAGTAGCAAACCACCGAAATTTCCTCCGTATTCCATAGATGAGAAATAAGTTTCACTCAAATAGCTTCTTCCCTTGAACCACTGCTCTGTAAAAATGTTTCCCCGATCACTACAATCTTAACCTGTCATCGCACCCTCTTATCCGTATAAACTATTCCTTTACGTAACCCTCTACCTTGAGTGGCCCCCAAGCCTTGTGCAAGGTGAATCTTACTGTAAAAACAAAGAAGAAAGATAAGAAGAGAATTCAATAAATAGATTGTTTTACAGTAAGCAAACGCGTCCATTTTGGGTCTGTTTCAAAACAAAAATTGTTTTAAAAATGTTTTTTCAAGTCCAGATGTGACCAATTTATTTTTTATGTGAATCGATCCATATCTTTGTTAAGAGATGTCCGTGGAAATGTAATACTTTGAACGAACAGATGTTCGATAACATTCGAGATCAATCAATATTTAGTAAACAAGTATGTCATTGATCCTCATAACAACCCCCCCCTTATTTATTCTCATCATCTGTGAGACAATCTGGCAGAATTTGGTTCACGATTCTTAATTTTTGGAAATAAATTCAACTTGAAAAAATAAATAGATTAAGAATTAAGATAAAGAAAATAAAAGAAACCCAATAATGACACTGAAAGTGAATTAGAAAGCGAAATAGAAGAAGATAGAGAGAGAGAGAGAGAGAGAAGAGAAAAAAGAGGAAGAAAGAGAAAAATAGAAAGAGAGTGACAAAGAGAGAAATCGAGTAGAGAAAGAGAGAAGGAAAGGAGAAAAAAAGAGGTGAAAGAAAAAGAGAAGGAAATAGATAGAGATAAGAAAAGAGATATAAAGAAATAATAAAAGAGAAAGACAGTAGAAAAAGAAAACAAAGACTCGTGCAGGGATTTTCGAGAAAATATCGTATCACATATGGCTAACAGCTTGTCGGAGTTATCTCCTCCTTAATTCCCATATTGTCATTAGGGGTCATTCTCCCTATACTATAAATACTGGGCGACTTCTCGTCTCGTCCTTTTTTTCCTTCAGGCTTCGTGCCACATCCCACCTCGCGTGGAGGTAAGATAAATCATCTTCTTTCTTCATTTCAGCGAACACTGCTACTATGTGAGCTCTCACAAAAGACAGCGTTTCCCATTTCTGGGAAGACGCTATGAACATTACAAACATACACGTACGTACGAACATTCACCAAAGAACAAAAAGCACAAATGTTTACACACAAACACAATGTTAACTGTCTATGTCCATTGTAAAATTCTTTTGTTTAATACATATATTTGTTTATATATATATATATCGGTCATGTTTGTTTGTCTCTTTTATCTTCAGTTGGACTTGAGTCCGGCAATTTTCATGTAGTTGCACCTTTTAATATTCTACCAAGAGTTACACGCGTGTTTCTAATATAACAACACGTAAATACACACACGGCCCTCTACAAGCTCACCCACCACACAATAAAGTCTTAATTTGGCACCCTGTGACCTCTGACTGTCACCGTTGAAACGAATTGATTTCACACTATAGACGAGATTAAGGAACACGCGATCAAGCAGCAGAAAGAAGATTTTACAGACTTAAATGAAAACTCATCATCCGTATTCTGATGAATAGATCACGCAGCGGAATCGGACCATAAGACAAGAACAGTGTGGGTTCGTCAAAGACACCGGAACAAGGAACGCGATATTCATGCTTAGAATGTTATCAGAAAGAGCAACCCAGATGTAGAAGGACGTGTATCTATGTTTTATAGACTATGCAAAGGCATTCGACAAACTACACCACAAGAGTCTGCTGGAACTGCTCAGCAACCTTGATAGATTCGGGAAAGATAGAATAATCAAGAACCTCTACTGGCAACAAAAGGCATGCATGCACATCGAGAATAAGCTCAGCGAATATACAAAAATTGAAAGGAGCTTAAGGCAAGGATGTGTCTTCTCACCGGACTTATTCAACCTATACAGCGAGGCAATTCTGAGGGAACTGGAGATCCTACCAGGATTCCTCATTGGCAGCCACAACCTTACCAACATAAGATACGCAGATGACACGGTAGGAATAAAAGACACGGAAAAGAAACTACAAAACCACCTACAGAAGGTAGCGAGGGAGAGCAAGAAGAAAGGACTAAGCACAAACTACAAGAAGACAGAATGCAGGGTCATCAGTAAAAGGATGAGCCCAAAATGCGATTTGTAAGTCGGGGGCACTAAAATCAAACATTTGCGGTTTTTTTTAAGTATCTGGAAGCTGAGTAGGATTTCTATGGTGACAAAGAAAAGAGTACTAAGCTGCTATGTGACATCTATGTGATACAGTAGCGAATGTTGGACTATATTTAGTCGTCCCCCCACGAGGGCGTCATGTGGCACAAGGCCTTTTTAATGTGGGCATTTCCGAGCCATTAGGCTCGGCCAAAAAATAGCCCATTTGAAACCGTATAAACGGGTTCAGGGCTGAGCTTATTCTCCCGAAGGAGACTCCGTCCTTCGGCGTAGCCTCCTTCGGGTTCCTCTCACCCGAAAGCAGAGCGTTGAACCGAACCGTCGCTCAGAAAGTGAGCGACGGACTCAAAAAAAAATAGCGAATGTTGGACGGTATCCTCAAGGATGAAGAAGAGACTCAAGGCGGTAGAGATGTGGTTCTACAGAAGGATGCTGAGGATATCATGGACCGAGCATATGTGCAACTATGAGGTCTTGGTGAGGATGCAAACAAGAAGGAAGCTTATGCTTAACATAAAGAAGAGGCAGATGAAATTTCTGTGACACGTGATGAGAAAGGAGGGCCTGGAGAATTTAATACTCACGAGACGAATAGAGGGGAAAAGAGACAAGGGAAAGAAGCATATGACATACGTGCCGGAATTGGCAGGTGGGTGGCAATGCGTGGTCTGGGGAAGTTGGAAGAAACACAAAACCTGTTGAGAGCCACAAGGGTTAGGGGGAAGTGGGGGGGGGCATTACCGCCTACGTCCTGAAAGTACGCGACACATAGAAAGAAATGAAAAGTAGGCTGAGAACTGGAATCAAATGCTGTATTTTAATATTAAATAAGTTTATGTTTCAGGAGAAACAGCTCCTCTGTTTCTCTCTCTCGCTCTCTCATACATACATACAAACATCGATATGTATGTGTGCCTGAAACCCGGGTTACGACTAGGGCTATCTCTTCATAGGGTATAAAGTTGTTAAACATTTTTTGCTCTGTCTAGGCAATCTACTTTTTGTTTTGTTAGAGCCCTGGTCTTTTCGTATAGCTTTGTTCTTTTGGTAGAGTATTGGTCTTTTGTTAGAACTCCGGTCTTTTAGTAAAAACTTGGCCTTTTGGTAAAGCCTTGGCATTTGGTAAACGCCTTGGTCTTTTGGTAGATCCCTGGACTTTTGGTAGAAATTGGGATAAACACAAATGGCACTCAAAATCGAGATTAACATAAGTGGAAGTCGGATTTGGGATTAACCCAAGTAGCAGTTGAATTCTGGATTAAAGAGATTAATTCAGAATATTAGTTTATCTATGACGATAATATAATAAAAATAAAAGTTGAAATATCAGCAAAATTAGCATTGTTTTTTATGTATAATATTTTTTACTTCTTTAAAGTTCTCCTTTGAATCTCTTCTCAGAACGAAATTCATTTTCTTTTCGCCTTCTTTCAAAAATTTCCCTCAGCTACCAAAGGTTAATTTAAGAGTTTTTATTCAAATTTCTCTTACCTGGGGAGCAAATTAAGTTGGTTGAAGTATTGTTTTTCTAGACTTCTTTTCTACCCAGTGAAGAAGAAAAAAAACATTTTTGAGGCAGGGTCAAGTAACATTAAGACGAAGAGTTGCGGTTTCAATTCCAACCCATGTTACCTTATTTTTATATTTAGGTCACCGAGGTCTTTGAAGTCAGATGAGCTTTTTTCAAAAGGGTTTTTTGAGGTTATCTGGAAAATGGTGCCACGCTCTGATAGCGCAAGATAGTCTTAAGTTGCAGGAACGCTCAGCTGGCGCTTTTAGCTGAAAATACTTCCAAAGCCTCCCCAACCTCCAGTCAAAGCACCCAAAGGTTTAGTGATATGTTTGTAGGCACACTTACTGAATGTTCCTTCCCTAGTCTTTTTTTTCTGCTTTAGAAAAACCATGAACATTTACCGTAATACGAATTGAAATTCTCGCATCATGTAAAATGTCTCTTCGCTAACAGTAACATGATCGTACAGCCAAACGTTAGCGATAACAGAGGAGAGTCTATTATCAGACAGAACATTAATTAATATCTATCTAAACGATTAATAGAAAGCCTCTATACAGTGCGAATCCTGTAGATTTTTATACGCTACCTCTAAAGATTAGAATCCACATGTTTAGCAAGGGTCTGTTTTTGTTAGCAGGCGTTAAAATATTTGCCCTAAATGGCCTTTTAGTTCGTAGCATAAGAACGGGTGATAGCAAAGGAAGGAAGAAAGTGGATGGGTCTGCCTTGGATTAACGAATTCAGGGAGAAACGAAGAGATAGATAGATCGAGAGAGAATAGAGGAAAAGGTTGGTGGATTAAGAGGAGGACGTGAGAGAACATTCGAATGTGTGAGGTGTGAAGAGACATCGCTCGAACGAAAAATGTCGGAAAGACAAATAAAAGAAGAAAAATAAAATAAGTTCATGAGAAAAAGAAAGGAATATAAAATGAAAGAGAAAAAAATTGAAGGAAGAAAATGAAGAAATAAGAGAAATAATAAATAAGCAAAATTAAAAAAGTGACTTAAAGGAAAGAATAAGAAAAGGGTAGAAAGAAAAAGGGAAATGTGAAGAAAAAGGAGAAAAGAATGAAGAAAAAAGGAAAAGAAAAAAGGAAAGAAAAGAAAGAAAGAATAAAGAAAAAGGAAAAATTATAAAGTAAAAACTGGGAATGTAAGTAAAGAAAAAGACGAATGAGTAAAGAAAAAAGGAAAAACGAGTAAAAAACAAAAGAAAACTTGTAGGAAAAGAAGAAAAGAATATAGAGAAAAGGTACAACCGAAATAGAAAAATGTGAAGAAAAAGAAGGAAAAAGTAAAAAAAAAAAAAAAACGAAAATGAATGATGGAAAAGAAAGAAAGCATGAAGGAAAGAAAGAAAGAGTGAAAGAAAAGAAAAAAGGGGATAAAAATAAGAAAATTGAAAAAGAAAAAGAAAAAAGAAGGCAAAGGAAATAGTGAAAAAAATAAGGAAAAAAGGAAATAAAAAAGAATAAAAGGGCAATTGAGAAGAAAGAATAAAGAAAAAGAACAAAAAGTACGAAAAGAAAGAATGAAAAATGAATGAAAAAAGAAGAAAGATTTTAAGAAAAAGAAAGACGTATTTGGTGACATCATTTCTTCCTTCGATCATGTGGAGTTCGTTGTCTCACATTGTCAGTTGTCTGCTTTGAAAAATGACAGCTGCCTTTTATTCCATGTCAGCTTTTCAAACAATCAAAAGTTCCTTCCGACCGATCCTCCTCTTCGTTATCCGGGGAGTTCAGGATCAGATTTCGAAAAGAAGCAGGGAAAATAGATCCCCGAGTCGTGTACGATTCTCTAACTTGATCCAGTAGCAAAGTTTCGGATGTCAGATGTTCGACTCGCGATAAGTTTAGAAAAAAGAAAAGAAAGCAAGCAAAAAGAACTGACACGAATTGTTCGCTTGTATGGATTGAAAGAATCAGCCGACCGGGTCACAAGTTCGCTTCAAGTTGTTGATGGACGGTTTGCTGACAGTACATGCATATAAAAGAAATAAATTTATCGGCGATCTGAAAAGAGCAAATCATGACGCAACATTCACAAAGAGACTGCAAAGAATAATTCAAAGAAACTCAGTAAATATTTAGGCACAAATTGTTTATATAAAACGTGAGAGTACAAGTTGAAAAAATTTTAATCACATTTCATTGACTTTGAAAGACAAGGAAAATCTAAGTCTTTTTATGAATGTTTTTACATTTTTACTTTCTTTTTTGTCAAAGAGAGTTACCCCACTTGACTTTACTAAAAACCGTCGCTAGGGGACACTCTTTAAGCCAATAAATAGGTAATGATATTCTCACCGACTCTTTTTTTTTTTTTAACTTTTTTTTCTTTTACACAAAAAGATGCAGTTTGCACGTAGCAAAAAAGTGTCCTCCACCGGGAACGCACTTTCAATTATTTTTCTTTCGGACTTTTCCCACTCAAACTTCATAGACACCAACATATTCCCAAGTTTAAATACTTTCTTCTTTTATTGGCTATGTAGACCTATGTTTTGTTAATACATACATTGTCGATTGTTTGTATATAGTTTTGTTGTTACTTTATTGATTTATTACCCTGTAGAGAACCGAGTGGGTTTGAGTGTTGTTGAATTAGGAACACGTGCTGTTTATTTCCTGCTAGAAGAAGGTTCAACTATCAGAAAATGGCGGTTTGTTTGTGTATGAACGTAAAGAGTTTGTATTTTGGTGTAAGTTCGTACGCACGTGTATGTGTGTTTCATGGCGTTTTCCCACAAGTGGGCGAAAACGCAGGTCTTTGCGAGAGATCACATTTTTAAATGTGTCCGCTGAAATGCAAAGTAAAAAGAGAATGAGGCAAGAAGTCGCCCAGTATTTATAGTGTAGGGAGAGCGACCCCTAGTGAAATATTTGGAGGAGGTAACTCCAACAACCCGAACTCAAATGTGAGTCCGGGTAATAATTGTTACAGGAAAATATACCGGTGGACGAAATAAAAGGTTCGGTCTTAAATTCCAATCACCCCGAGAAGGCCGGATTGTACAACGGCCGAAACGTTGTGAATATGGCAATGAAGATGAGGATAACAGTCCGAATAATGTAAATGTAAATAATTATAATCATCATCTCAGAGATTTAGACCGAGATTGACATTGCATTTAAATTTTTGAAGATCAAAATTGACTGGGAGGCAAGAAACCAGAGAGAGTTCCACAGGCAAGAAGTACGCGAGAAGAAACTGTTAGCATAGAATTTACGGTTGCATCTTTCGCCAATTCAACTGTAAAATGATGAGACCTAGCTGCCAATCTAGTACTGCGCTTAAGTCGAGATACCATAACAGAAATCACATTAGAACAATTACCATGAAAATATTTATAGAAAAGGCACGGGGAAGCTACGTTACGGCGGCGGAAGAGTGATTGAAGCCGAAATGCCAGGTCAGGACCAAGAATAGAGTGTTTATTTATCAATTTACATGTCTAGAGTGTTTATTTATCAAGACATGCATTTATAACCCACCTTCATCCATCCTCTGACCTTATTTTTCATTTATTTATTTTAGCATAGATCTGACTTTTAATTAGTTAATCCAGACATTCCCACAAGTATATTTTTTTATTCTGAGATCATTTTTATTATGTTATCTACCATCGCCCGAAGAAGAACGATTATAGTAATCAAAATGTTTTTATTGGAATCTATTATAATAAAAATATTTTAATAATATTATATTTTACTCTACGTTTGTATTGAGCAATTTTTAAAAAGTAAATGCTAAGAACTGTGAATTCTAACACCATCTGTTCTTTTCTTTTTTAATATATATATATATATATATATATATATATATATATATATATATATATGTGTGTGTGTGTGTGTGTGTGTGTGTGTGTGTGTGTGTGTGTGTGTGTGTAAAAATAGGAAGGAACTGGTTAGGTAAATAAGACCTGTAAATGAGACCTCTTACGTCGCGAATTGGAATCATATTTTTAAATAAATAATTATATATATATATATATATATATATATATATATATATATATATTTGATAGATGTGAGTTTGTGACCCTGGGTTTCACGCTTTAGCGATCGTCAAACAACGCTAAAGCGTGAAAGCGTCACTAACTCACATCTATCCAACCAAATATGTTAGCTCTATCTCTGATATTGAGCGCTTTCTAATAAGTACCGCGCATATAATATATAAATAATTATACATATATATATTTATTCATATTTATATACACTTTTCACATATATATGTAGTTACCGGTCTATTTCGTGGGTACATTTTTTCGAGTAGGTTTTAAACAGCCTGGTCTTGAGCAGAGGTGACTTTTTAGAAGACTAATAATAAATCTGAAAAAAAAGAAAAAGGAATCAAAGAAAAGTAATGAAACCCTCTGGTATGGTTCTTTTCCCCAGCAGTTAGTAATTAGGGGCCAATTAGAACTTTCGAGAGAATTCTAACTAACAACAATATTTATAAATTCTCTTTTTACCTCATGGATATCCAATATTTCACAGAAATAAATCTAAAGGCCTCAAAAACCATAATGTCTTCCAGTTGCTCGACTGGGAGGGGGAGGGGGTAAACAACACAAAAAACAAACACTATCTACCAACCGTGCGAAAGCTTGTACAAAGTCGGGAAATGAAAATAATGGGCAGATTTTGCCCGAGGGGAAGTGAAGCGAGTGTGGGGTACGTGAAGTGATGGTTTAGTAATAAGGAAAGTATCGGGGAGGGGGGCAGGGATTTACAATTGGGGCCAACAAGACAGGAAATGTATGAAGGAAGTTAAAATGACTCCCGTAGTGTGACACACGGTGTGGAAAATACCAGATATTGGAATTTGATAAGGACAATAATGGAGATGAAATATCCATTTAGACATAATTTACCAGTACGAAATCCCATAATACGACACACACATACACACGGATACATCTAAAGTTCTGTCTGTCCGTCCGTGTTTCTGAAACTCCTCTAACTCGAGCCACACTTGCTCTACATAGACATATTATACATTTATGGAATAAGGATGATCCAGGGATTGAAAATCTGGCCTTCATCTGGTACTTGAACATCCCCCATTGGGATTTGTGTCTGGATCAGTTAAACATTCAAATAACCGAAAAAAATTAGTGATTTTAAATTTTTAATTTATATTTATTTTAAAGTAACACAAAAACATGTGAAATTAATTTTTTTGGTTTTAAATTCAGTTTAAAATATCTCCAAAATTTTGTGAATTGAGGAAATTAATTTGATTTCTTTAAAATGTCCAAGGAATTAGAATTAAAGTGAGAGGCATCGTGACGTCAGGTTTTGAAGTTCTGCAGAGTTTGTGATTTGAAGAACTTACTTTTCGGCCTGAATTGGAATTTCAGCGCAAATCAGACTTTCGGCCCAAATCGGGTTTTTTTTTTGGTCGGAATTGGACTTATAGCCCGAATCAGAGTTAAAGTGAAGTTTTAAAGCTCCATGGAGTGAAATGAGGAATTCGAACTTATTTCTTCAAAATTATCATTGCTGTTTTCTAAGCTGGTAAAGAAGTTGTTTAAGTTAGTCTCTCTCTCTCTCTCTCTCTCTCTCTATATATATATATATATATATATATATATATATATATATATATATATATATATATATATGTATATATATAAGTGGACACTGAGATCAACACCGAGTAGTGACAGTGTTTCATATTTGAACGCAATCTTCAGACTATTTGAACAGACTTTCGCCACTGGGTTTTGATCTCACTCTACAAATTCTTATATTTGCACACATACTATTCCTGATATTTATTATTATTCAATTTATATGCTTGCGTTTAATCTTAGAATCTGTCAATTTATTTATTATTTCCTCTATTTTTTGAGGGCTATCAAATTTGTTTGTTTTAAGATGATTTTTTTT